ACGAACAATAAATTTAACCTATACAAAGATACGAACAATAAATTTAACCTTATCTATGCACTCTAATTTTACTTGTATTTATTCGCTCTTGTATCAGTTGTATCATTCGATCTAATTTCACTTATATTCATTCAATCCATTTTACTTGTATACTTGCGTGCATTTAGCTTGTATTAATGAATACAGTCCGGCTGTAAACAAAAACATAATAAAATTTAAAAAATACGAAAGAATATATTCATTTACTCTAAATTCACTTGTATTCATTTGCTTGTGTATTACTTATATTCATTTATTGTTGTATCATTTGTATTCATTCAGTGTTAGTATCACTTGTATTGATTCATAAAATATAGAAATACAGTAGAGAAAGAGGGGGGGGGGGGGGGTAAAAATACATAAATACAAGATAGAGGGTGGAAGTATAGAATACAGAATGAACCCGGCCCGTATAATTTTTTTAATATATTTTTTTCTAGTTATGTTTGATACTAAAAAGAAATTTATAAAAAGAAATTTATTTTTTTATTAAGTTGTATTAGTTTAATAGGATAGTGACTTAAAATTTTATTTTTTTAGAAGTCAATTGGGAAACATGCTAGAAATTGTATTGTTTTTTATTGAACCCTTTACATTTATTATCTTGAATATTTTAATAGTTTAAATGAAATTATCTTAATAAATAATGTTCTATCAGTCTATAACATATAAAACATTGAAATTAAGTTTGAACCCTCATAAAAGCACATAAACCCGCTCCACCTAATATTAATTTCAAAAAAACTACTTCAACCTGTCCCGCATCTGACCTGCCTCATATAGCCCTAAACTCGCATCACCCTGCATAGCCTTAAACCCACCCCGCCCCATTGCCATCCCTACTAATATATATTACCCTTTAATTATCTAAAGGTAATGTTTTAGGGAAATGGAAGGACATGTTTTGGGAGCCTAATTTATCATGATATTTATCATAACAATATTTAATTAAAACCAGAAAAACATTGAGTTGAAATAACGCCAAGATATTATATTATTGCTATTGTAAGTTAGAGGTCCAATGGAGGTACAATGATAATATATGCTTTGGATTCTCTAGAATAGTGCACCACCAATGTATTATTATTAATTGTATCTTTATTATATTAAGATAAGAAACCTCCCTACTACACACTAGAGCCATTATTTATGAGACAAAAGTAGTTATTTAAGTCAGTTGTGTAAATTATTCCAATCATTTTGCTTCATTGTTATGTAACAAAGTGAATTAGTCTGTTCCTAACTTACATTACAAGTTGAATTAATGAATTCAAGCAGTAACTACGATATCCTTCAACATGATGTATTTATAGGATTAAAAGAGAAACCCAATCCTACTATTATTAAATGGGCTAAGATATAAGTATTTCTAGACTATAATTAAAATTTCAGAGATACATTTTAATAAAATTAAGGTTCTATTACCTCGATTTTTTTAATTTTTTTTTATAATTTTGTTCAACTTTTTGGCTTATGTGACATCTGTTAAGATCCTTGATCTTCACCATGTGAGGACCTTCAAGATGAGAGAAGAGAAGAGAAGAGAAGAGAGAGGAGAGGAAATATAATGTTTGTGTATTTCCAACTTGTATTCAACAACCTGTACATACTGTATTTATACACTTCATTAACAACTTTTAACAAACTCTAACTACCTTTCTAACAATATAACTAACAAGATACAACTAACTAATTAATGAAAATATCTCTTTATTTAACATCCTCCCTCAAACTGATGCTTTGAATACATCTTTCAAGCACAGTTTGGTCATTAAGTGTTCATGTTGTTGCCTGCCAAGACTCTTGGTTAATAGATCTGCCTGCTATTCCTTAGTAGAAACATAATGGGTTTTGATAACACCTTGTATAATCTTGTCTCTCACAAAATGACAATCAATGTCAATGTGCTTAGTTCTTTCATGAAAAATGGAATTTGCTGCAATCTGAATAGCAGCTTTGCTATCAAAATAGAGGAATATTGGAACCTCAATACTGATTCCCAGCTCTTTATACAGACCAATCAACCAAGTTATTTCAGCCACAACAGAAGCCATGCTTCTAAACTCTGCTTCAGCAGAGCTTCTAGCTACTGTTTCTTGTTTCATTGACTTCCAAGACACTATAGCATTGCCAAACTTCACTAAGTATCCTGTGACAGACCTTCTAGTCTGTAAACAACCACCCAGTCAGAATCACAATATGCTACAAATTTTCCAGAACTATCTGAGGGCATTAGAAGACCAAGACCTGGAGCATTTTTTATATATTTCAATACTCTTAAAGCAGCATTCATGTGAGATTGTTTGGGACTGTGCATGAATTAACTTAGCACTTGCACTACATATGCAATGTCAACTCTAGTCATAGTAAGATATAATAACTTTCCTACTAGCCGTTGATATTGAATAAGATCAACAAGTAATATATCTTCACTTGTAGAACCTACTTCCTTAGTTATAAAATCATCATAGTCGACTGATGTAAGTTTCAGTTTGTCTCCAAAGGTGTGTTAACTGGTTTAGTGCCACTCAATCCCATATCACTAATTAGTTCCAATGCATACTTCCTTTGGCTCATCACTATTCCCTTTTGTGATCTCACAAATTCAATTCCAAGGAAGAACTTCAATT